GAAGTAACATCTCATAATCAGGTGTGCAAACATGGTGCGACACCGCCTCGTAAAGAGATGAGTGCGAAAGAGCACCTGCGCATGTCGCAAAGCTATGCCGTGAAGGAATGGTGCCGTTAATCGTATGCTAAGCGGATTAGCCTAAGAAAAATTACGTCAGAAACACTCGAGTGAACTCTTTCTGTCAGGCATGTGAGCATACATATGGATCTACATGAGCTACAAAAAGTATGCAAGTGTTGCTGTAGCTCGGACTGCTGTTGCAAGGGTTGGTGTGGAATGGTGTGGGACGGTGTGGGATGGTGGTGCTACTGTCGCATGGATTGGTGCTGCAGAGGATGGTGTGGAATGATGTGGGATGGTGTGGGATGGTGTGGGATGGTGTGGGATGGTGGTGCTGCTGTTGCATGGACTGGTGTTGCAAGGGATGGTGTGGAATGGTGTGGAATTGTGTGGAATGGTGTGGGATGGTGGTGCTGCTGCCGCTGTCGTGGTTTTGCAGGGGATGATGTGGGATGGTGGTGTAGGTATAGATTTTCCCTTTTCCCTAATCCTTTTTGATCCTTCCACTAACGACAAGCAGTAGAAAAGTTTCAGAAGCTCAGCATGCTAAAATCAAGCACCAACAAAGCAGTTATAGCAATACCGCATTGAATCCCGCAAGCCTTTACTTAATCAGTTACTGACCCATCTTATTACCGCTCCACTACCCTGACACAGATCGAGTCCCCTAGTGCTACATTTCCGGAGCGGCTTTTGTGTACGGCAGGGGTTGAGTGGCGACGACAACGAACCTCGTGTGTGGACGAACTTGTGTGCACCCTCATGAAGGGGTCGTAGTTCTATTCAGAGTCCCGGCGAGGACAATGGACCCCGCTATGGCAATATTCATGACGTGAAGAGCTGCTCACACTTACACTGTGCTTCTAGACAACAAATACTGGATAGTGCAAGAGAAAATATGCTCCGCTGCAAAATGGATGTCCTTCCTAAGCACAAATTTAGAGGAAGTTTGAGGAAAAACTGGCGTTGGGTCCCATTAATCCCATAAATTACCACAAACAGTGGCGCCAGTCTGGTTTGCATGGGGTAACATGTGGTTAATGTATTGCTTTGCAAGGTTAGCTGCAGATCATGCAATTCCGTAAAATTCAACCTATAAAAAAGATTATCCTTGGACTACTATTACCATCGATTCCAGCTAAACCCGCGAATCGAACCGCAGTGACCTCTCATCCCTTT